GTGTACAAAAGGCTTATCCATAATAAATGTGTTAAGTCTTCCAAGCGACGCGATATTTTTTGTTATTATCTAGAGACAATTTCCCCCTTTTAGGGATTTCATTTCAGACCCCTCTAAGTAGAAAGCTCTTTGTGAGTAAGTCTAAGAAATTTTCTTGGGCTAGTTTACAGAAATACGTAATAGAACAGAGGCACCTTTTGTTTTGATGTCCTGTGGGATCCCTTTGAGCTGTGGAGCACAAGGAAATGAAACGTTGCCTGACTTGCACTGCACAAGGTCTGACATACTGGGAGGCTGGGCAGAGGGAGGCGAAGCAGTTAATAAAGAGTCTTGCAGGGTGACAAAAGAAAATGGACCACCTCAAGTGCCTCGTTTCCTAAGGTTTTAGGCTGTCAATCTGTTTGCTCCCCAAACCCAGGCACCTTGTGAGCGGACTCCTGAGCTTCCACAGCTGCGTGGCAGGCAGAAACACAACAGGTGAGGCTTTTGACCCAGCGCGGAGAGGTGACGAAGCGGGGTGCCGCCTGCACCTGCAAGATTTCTGCCTGTCACGCATATGCTATTGCTATAATTTCTTAGCTGCTTCATCCCGCTCAGGGCAACTTACAACCAAGCGAAACAAATGCGCAGGAGAAGCGCCGAAGCGGACGTTGCCCTTTCCTACCCACCCGGATTCCCATCCTGGGCTCCAGCCCCGAAAAAAGCCAGCAGCCCCCAAAGGAGCCGCAGGACGAGCATGGCGAGGCGAAGCCGCCGCTAAAGCGAGCCGCCGCCGCCGCCCCGGACAAGGAGCAGCCGAGCCGAGGCCTCCGCAGGCGCCATTTTGCGAACGGGTCCCTCGGTTGCTGTGGAAACGGCTGGGAGGAACCACCTCACGTTGCCCGGCTCTGAAGCGGGAGAAGACCCCCCAAAAAAACTCAAGCCCAGAGTGTTTCACTAACGTACATTGATTAACACAGGCTTGAGGTGGGGGAAGGCAATAAAGCAGCAAAGAGTGCAGTCGGAAGTCCCTAGTGTCAAATCTCCTTTCCTCCACCCCTCTGCGTGAATGGTATGTTCCCAATATTAAGGCGTGGCCTAACAACGGACGCGGGTGGCGCTGTGGGTAAAAGCCTCAGCGCCTAGGGCTTGCCGATCGAAAGGTCGGCGGTTCGAATCCCCGCGGCGGGGTGCGCTCCCGTAGTTCGGTCCCAGCGCCTGCCAACCTAGCAGTTCGAAAGCACTCCCAGGTGCAAGTAGATAAATAGGGACCGCTTACTGGCGGGAAGGTAAATGGCATTCCGTGTGCGGCGCTGGCTCGCCAGATGCAGCTTGTCACGCTGGCCACGTGACCCGGAAGTGTCTCCGGACAGCGCTGGCCCCCGGCCTATAGAGTGAGATGGGCGCACAACCCTAGAGTCTGTCAAGACTGGCCCGTACGCAGTGGCGTAGCATGGGTTGTCAGCACCATTACAGCAAGGCAAGTAATTTGCGCCCCCTAACCCGTGGATTTGCGCCCCCTAACCCTAACCCCCAGATGTTGCGCCCGGTGCGGCCGGCCCCCCCCCTGTACCCCCCACGCTACGCCACTGCCCGTACGGGCAGGGGTACCTTTTAACAACGGGACGGGACGCGGGTGGCGCTGTGGGTCAAACCACAGAGCCTAGGACTTGCCAATCAGAAGGTCGGTGGTTCGAATCCCCGCAACGGGCTGAGCTCCCGTTGCTCGGTCCTGCTCCTGCCAACCTAGCTGTTCAAAAGCATGTCAAAGTGCAAGTAGATAAATAGGTACCACTCTGGCGGGAAGGTAAACGGTGTTTCCGTGCGCTGCTCTGGTTTGCCAGAAGCGGCTTAGTCCTGCTGGCCACATGACCCAGAAGCTGTACGCCGGCTCCCTCGGCCAATAAAGCGAGATGAGCGCCGCAACCCCAGAGTCGATCACAACTGGACCTAACGGTCAGGGGTCCCTTTACCTTTTAACAACGGGTGGGGGAGGTT